CTTGGGGATTGGCCTTGAATACCCATTTACCCATGCCTTGGATGAGTTTGCACACCCTATGTGCACAAACCGTGGAATGGCTAGAGGACACCCTTATGTCCTTGCCTTGGAATTGGTTCGAACACCCTTTGTGCTCGAACCTTAGGGTTTGGCTAGAACACACCTTTGCGTCTTAGCCTGGGATATAGTTGTGCTCCATCCTTGGGATTGGCAACCAGACACCGTTGTGTCTTATCCTTGGATTTAATAATTAACACCGATTCGCTCAAACCGTGATGTACTAAACAGACACCCTTGTGCATGCTTGGATATAGGATTGAGCATCCTGTGTACTTAAATCGTGATGGGAAAATCAAACGCCCTTGTGTCTGATACCATTCGAACGCCCCTAGCGATCGAATTGGATTGAAGGATAAATCAGCACTCCAGCTAATTCACGCAACATTTCATCAAACACCCTGCTTTTGCATCCACATCAACGAAAGTTGTCCAAGAAGGCTTTCCGCAGCATCCGTTAACTATGGTATCAGGGGTAAGCGCAAATCGAATTTCTCTTCCAACGATCAGCTGATCCATGAGCTGCATGCCTTCCTTCGTAGTAGTAGAAAGCTCAATTTGATGCGAAAGTGCTCCGTATAGGGTTGACTCGAGGGCAGTTTGCCAAACGGTGATGACGTATTGATTTCCAAAAATGAATGGTTAGTGTTAGTTTCACAGTATGTAATGCCTAGCTCGGCTAGACATATGCATATAAGCTGCTTACCTGGCTAAGTAGGTGCAGCTACCCGCTTCCATCCGATCCGTGGTAAGCGAGAACCCGTAGGTATGACGTCATCGTAGAACCAATCTTGCTTTGAGAGAATGCGATAGCGGAGATACGGTCTAATACGAATACCCTCCGTGAGTTATCTCGATCCTTGGCTCTCCTTCGTCGTGGCTTCCTACATACCAAAGCCGAAAATGGAACGGGACTCAACCAATCTTCCACCGATCACTTGTGTTCCGTGAAGATTGGCGATGGTATCTGATCGTGGGTGTACCCAGGGATCGTCGAGTGTATCTCTTGGGTCGATTTGTTTCCGTTGACGTGAATTCGGGAAAAAAAACAGCTGACTGGATACATCGTTGGCTGTAGTGGGTTCCATACCGTTGTGAGATGTTGTTGTTGACATTTCGCTCGAAGCTGCATGGTTAAGTGTTTCGAAATCCGTGAAGGCGTGTGTAGATAGGTAGATGATCCATTTGTAGTGTCCAGTGCAAATCCAGTGCCCAATGCAGAGGTTTTGTGTACGCACAGGTCCGTTGTATGTGCCTTTGGTTTGTTTCTGCCCTTGAGTGTGATCTCTAGTTTGGCCAGATATCCTTTGACTTCTGTCTCCGAGAGGTTCGTGATGAATTCCGTTGGTTTGTAAAAAATCTTTCTCGAACGGGGTCAGCTCTTCACTGGTCCACTTCAGTGTACGTAGCGAGGCGCCATTGTTGGCCTGCCAATCGAACGAACAACTATTTCCTCCGAAACCTCCACGCCCATTCCGCCACGGGATCCTCCCGAGGGGCGCTCGCCACCGCGGAAACCTTCACCATTACCGTTCATGGGACGGCCTCCTTGGCTACCTCCGCAGCATCCGCCGGATGATGGTTGACGATTGCCGATTGGGAATAGTTTCTGCAGAATTAAGCGAATAGCGGAGCGACGTGGATTTCTTTTCCAGACACTTTCGTTGATTCACTCAAACTGCTCCGACTGTTGGGCGAGAATGCAGACCTTCCTGGAGATAAAATTGAATCGTGCTTGAAACATACCATAAATTATCCACCATACATGGCGGTTTGCGCCCCTAGTCCTAATTGAAACTATCAATCAATCACGCTATAAACGGAAATATCAGTCTGGCACGCTTTGGACGTGTATCATACTTGAAGACCGGCTTGAATGTGTGAGTTTAAATTAGAAGAACATTGGAGATGTATGGGTGCCTAAAGTGTTGCCAAAAACGGATTGGGTGGATCGATAGGCAAGTCGCCTATACGCATCTACGGGGCAGTAAAGAATCTACTTCCAGCAGCATGATCGCACAATTGGACACAAAGACGAGTCCTCAAACAGGAAGATGCCCCAATGAGTGGGGAGAAGAGCTCGTCCTTTACTCACGCAATGTTGGCATTACCACTCTCCCAGTTCAAATCGCTTCAATCGGGTGCCCTAATGGTCCCTCCCATATCCCAGCATTGTTTTGTATATATAAATTAACTTTTCATTTGCTTTCGAAGAGTTTTTTTTTAACTAAACACTTATTACTGTCCACCTTCGTGGTTAAACTAGGAATGATTTATTGTCGTACCGATCAGAACCTTAGCTTTGTCCAAGGGGTAAGTCACTCAGCACAGTGTGCCGAAAGTAGATTCGGCACAATCTCGTAGGCATTGGATTGTTCATTAAATCAAATGGGAGCACTGCTGGACAGCTGTCATTAAAGTTGTTCACAACATTGCGGGCTGTTTGACTGTGTATTTCAGAAACATATATGAATATATAATTATATAATTAAATATATTAGAGGAACTCAGATTGCTATCGATGCCGGTCAGAAGTCATTCAGTTACTACGCACATGGAGTGTTCTAGGAACCGGAAGGCAAGAACAATTAGGATGGATTGGATCATGCAGTGGTGGCGGTTGAATACGGAAAACTCAAATCGTATCGAGTCGTCTACAGCATCCCGATTCGTTGTTGAAATATTGACATTAAATGCTGTGGACTTTCTATTTAAGGTTCACTGATCTTGTTCTGTAGGTTGAGCATCCCACCGAAATTGAATGAATTTGCTTTTGGTGCGCGCTGGACTTATTCCCTGAAGGTTGTGACCTGTTACCTAAGTCTTCTGTTTTCGACCAATACAGGATGACGATAATGTCCACTGTATTTTTTGTAAATCATCAGATTAAATTTAGTAACATTGGTTTTAATGTTCCATCGACACGGACACGGACGACAAGATCGACTCAAAATTGAGTTGCATTCGACTCAATTTTGCAAAAAGTTTATTTTCCGAGCTTTTGCAGGAAAAACTTCTCCATTATGGGCCCTATTATGTAAATTGAGTCGAGCGTCACTTCTGGTAACCGTTAATAATTACTTTCGTAATACCAATATCTGGTCTAAGTGACCAGAAGTGACGCTCGACTCGGCTTAAATAATAGGGCCCTATGACGAAAATATATAGATATTTCACTCAGTCTATTAGAATACCCCTAGCCTGAGTAAAATGTTCGTCGATTTTCCTTATATTCGAGAAGTTTTTCCTGGAAACAGCTCGGAAAAGTTGACTAATTTTGTGAGCAAATCCAGTTTTTGCAAAATTTAGTCGAATTCATCTTAAGTTTGAGTTGTTTTTATTTGTCTGGTCCCCCCGTCGCCCACTGCACAGTGGACCAGGAATTAAATATAACAGGAAGGGGCCTCCCTTAGCTCAGTCGGTAAAGGCGCAGCTACAAAGCAAGACCATGCTGGAGGTGGCCGGGTTCAATTCCCGGTCCGGTCTAGGAATTTTTCGGGTTGGAAAATTTCTCGACTTCCCTGGGCATAGAAGTATGATTGGACTTTCCACACAATTATACCAAAAATGGTACAGGCATCGAAAGCTCTCAATTAATAACTGTGGAAGTGCATCTAGAAGACTAAGCTGAGAGCACTCAATAAGCTAATATGCGATATGCAATAAGCTTGAAATGCGAAGAAGAAGAAGAAGAAGAAGAAGGAAGAAATTAATAACGCTCTGGGGTTGCATCCGTCTTCAGTGAAGTAGAGTTTTATGAAAAGTTGACGAAGATATAAAAGCTGTTCAGCAACTGAGATAACGAAGTTTTATAAAATTCAATCCGATCTATTCCAGATCAATGCTATTATTTTTATCATATGAAATTTGAATAAAAAATACATGATATTCTGAATGATTTTTTTTATTAGTGTCTTCGTTAAAAGTCAACAAATCAAGAATACTGGCAACTCTTCCATTTTCTCATACAAACGCTATGAGACCAAGGGGGGGAGGTGGCTGTCAAATACGAACAATCTTCGCCTACCTCGCATAACTGGTTCCAAACGTAAACAAGCCATAAGAAACCTACAGCGTTTGTTTACGTTTGGAACCAGTTTCATACAAGATGATCAGTAAGCTGATTTGACAGCACGTCCCCCCCCCCAGTATGAGACATGTAAAATCGCGTCATCTGCCGCTCAAAGGTAAATGCTTCGAATGAATTTGATAGCAAAGATAACATCCTCAGAAGAAAGGTTTGTGTATTTGCTCATTTTTCTATGCGTTGCTTCCACCTTCACTTAAGCGCAGCTCTATTGTATCTGTCGCTTGGATTTTGGCAAAGTTGTCAGTCTTCTTGATATGATGTCTTCGCTTTTAGCCAGTGTGGTTGGTCACTAAATGAATTTTCTAAAACATGCGCAACTGAACGCAAAATGTCATCAAATATTCAAAATATACATCACACACATACACGATTGAGCCTTCAACCCATACACGATAAAAAAAAAAAACTCAATTTTGAGTCGATCTCATCGTCCGTGTAGGTGAATGTTTTCGAAACAATTTGGTGTGTAACCCCTTACAAACCAACGAACAAGTTCATTTATATGTGTGGGAGGTCACTGTGAATTTCATTTGTCATCATTTCAGTATAGTAGTATATTCGTATGTTATATTTTCAAGTTCAATGTCGACTCGACAGTTTCCATTGACCCATCAACGAGAAAACAAAGGGTGTTCATTTGGTTGTAATGATTTTCAGTTGGGCGGAAGTATGACTAGGGAGAAAATAAGGAATTGAACAGCGCATAAATCTTGAATTTATGAGAGGGAAGTCTTTTTCGGTTGCTTCCTGTAATTAAACTTAACGCCGTAATACATTCACGTTAAATTTGCTCTCCGAATACCTCGAACAACCGACGATTAATGATGTCGATTTTCTCTTCCCTCCACACCAGGTGAAAAAGCGACAGCAGCGGGTGTCTATGATCCTGGACAGTAAACACATCACCTACACGATCATCGATATAACAGAGCCGGGCCAGGAGGCGGAGAAGGACTTTATGCAGAAAAACGCAGAGCACAACGGAGCGACGATCAGCGATCAGAACCCGCGGCATGCGCTTCCCCCGCAGATGTTCAACGACGCCGAGTACTGCGGGGACTACGACGACTTCGACCTGGCCAACGAGGTGGACAATCTGGAAGTGTTCCTCAAGATAGAAGCCCCGAAGGCCCCAGTGGAGGCCAGCAGCGAGGTGAGCGAAGATCAGCAGAAAAATGGCACCGGCGACGCCGAGCAGGACCAGCAGAGCCAGGTGACGGCGACGGAGGCTGCGTCGGCGGGAGAAGACGACGACGAAAACAAAGAAAATAAGACTGAAGAGGGAGCGAATGAGGTTTGAGTTGTTTGCTTGCACGCTCGTTATGCGTTTTAGTTGTTTCTTTTGAGTTACAATTTTTTTTTTTTCTGAACAAACAAACAAAAAAAACTGTCTCACTCGCGTGGCTTAACATTGCTCCCCAAAGGAAATAAGATGAACCGCTCGCGCGCCCCGTCGCCAAATGAAACAGCAAATTTATAGAACAAAAAAAAAAAAAGTTGCTTTTTTCTGTTAATTTATAGTTTTGTAATCAGTTTTGGTGTTGTTCGCTATTTAGTTGCTATCAAGCATACTAATCAAATTCTAATCCTATAATTATCCAACGAGCAAAGATAATGATGCTGAAGGCGCATGTATTTTTTTTTCCAAATCAGGAATATATAACAAGAATAACGAATCTAATCTTATATTTAATAACTTTGTTTAGTAGTTAAAGCGATTTGCGATTCAACACAGTTTAAACATAAATTTCAATGTTCTGAACAATTCAATGATGCAATAGATTCCCAACAAATCAATATTATTGGCTGCAAGCGTGGTTTTTCACTCCGAACACGATAAGATAAAGAGAGTGTTGGTTTCGTTTACCGATAGATTTCCGCTTGTTGACTCCGCTGATATCAACTAGCATTGCCGCACGAGGGACATTTTTTTCACGTAGGTTTGTGATAGCAAGCAGGTACCTATCTATTCACTAAATTAATCTTCCACTTGTTTAGTGCGCTGCTGCAGAAATAGACCATCTGTTCCATCATCGTCTTATTGGTCATCATCGATTGACACATCTACACTGCCGCTCTTCGCATGTCCGTCCCATAGCAGAAATCCGCAAGTCGAGAAAATCGCGTTTTAAGTTTGCTTCTGTTTCTGCTTCTTATGTGATGGGACAACCAATTTCCAAACTTTTTCAGAACAAAGTTGTTAAATATGGGTGATTGAAAAACTCAATTTTGACAAAAAACGACTATGGGACCGACTTGCGAAAAGCCGCAGTACACACGTTATATGATACAATTTTGATAAATGTTCCACTTAATTACTTGTAGACTAAGTTGAGAAGATCACCAACAAAGATAAACGAAGGAAAATTTATTGAAGAATTTTTCGGAAAGTATAAATGTATTGGTAGTAGTGGTGTCGTCCAAAATGGTCAAATTGAAACATGCCTGGGGGCTTTCACTTTGACGATCCTGCTTTGACGCTTGTCCCGATTCATTTGTAAAGAAGCTCTGAGTTTGTTCAATGTTCAGGTTTAGGGAGTCCTCCTGAATAGCTCCCGAGATTGTGACCGGTGACAGAGAGTCACGTGACTCACAAAATAAGGGGGACTTTTAAATTCGTACTCAACGACTCCATCAAAGTAACTAGCTATCTTCATCGGCACCAATGTCGCCCAGATCGATCAACCAGAGAACTACGGCAGTCACTAAGGCCTACCGAGTAATCTTACACTGGTGGTCATCCAGGCCCCTGCAAGACGAAACCAGTCTTAGTGGCCGCCCCGATCCACCAGTAAGGCAATTATTAAAACCCACTGGGTGACCTAAGCTTTCTCAGAAGGGTTTCCAGGATTTCGGTCGAGAACTGGCTTGAGTTTATGCAAGCAATTCTGCTCGTACTGTTCCATTTGAGAGAGAATGAGTTTCCCAAGACATGAGGCAAATTTACTCATCGCTGAGTACCTGCACTTTTTGCGATTTATGAGTAAACTGAATTCAAATTTGGGTTGATCTCATTGGCCGTGTTCATAAAACTTCTGGACCTATTTCGAAAGGCGACCTATCCACAAAACTTCCTGTCAGATTCTTGTCTTTTAATGCTTCGTAACTTGTTCCATGTGACCTGTGGAACCTCCATAAGGTCTCTGAGTAAGTTCTACAAGGCACTGGCACGTAAAGTCTTGTTTCATAAGACTTCTAACCTTGTTCTCTGAACTTGTTCCATGAGGATTTTGGCATTTTTTTAAAAGACCTCTTAACTTGTTTCACAAGGTCTTTGGACTTATCCCACACAACGTAAAGTCTTGTTTCATAAGATCTCTGACCTTGTGTTCTGGACTTGTTCCATGAGGATTCTGGCAGTTTCTATAAGGCCTCTGAACTTGTTCCACGTGACCTCCTACATTAGGTCCCTGTGTTTGTTCCATAAGACTTCTGACCTTGTGCTTTGAACTTGTTCCATGAGGATTTTGGCATTTTTTAAAAAGACCTCTTAACTTGTTCCACAAGGCCTCTTAACATGTTCCACATGGTCTTTGAACTTATCACACAAAACGTAAAGTCTTGTTTCACAAGATCTCTGACCTTGTGTTCTGAACTTGTTCCATGAGGATTTTGGCAGTTTCCACAAGACCTCTGAACTTGTTCCACGTGGCCTCTCCGTTTGTTCCATGAGCCCTCTGCGCTTGTTCCACAAGACCTCTAAAAAAGTTCCACAACGCCTCTGAGTTTGTTTCATTAGGTCCCTGTGTTTGTTCTACAAGACTTCTGACCTTGTGCTTTGCATTTGTTCCTTGAGGATTTTGGCATTTTTTAAAAGACCTCTTAACTTGTTCCACAAGGTCTTTGGACTTATCCCACACAACGTAAAGTCTTGTTTCATAAGATCTCTGACCTTGTGTTCTGGACTTGTTCCATGAGGATTTTGGCAGTTTCCACAAGACCTCTGCGCTTGTTCCACAAGACCTCTAAAAAAGTTCCACAAGGCCTCTGAGTTTGTTTCATTAGGTCCCTGTGTTTGTTCTACAAGACTCCTGACCTTGTGCTTTGCACTTGTCCCTTGAGGATTTTGGCATTTTTTAAAAGACCTCTTAACTTGTTCCACAAGGCATCTTAATTTGTCTCACAAGGTCTCTGCACTTGTCCGACAAAACGTAAAGTATTGTTTCAAAAGACCTTGTGCTCGGAGCTTGTTCCGTGAGGATTTTGCGTTTTTCAAAAGGACTTTGAACTTGTTCCACAAGGCTTCTAAACTATTTCCACGAGACCTCTGAGTATGTTTCATTAGGTCCCTGTGTTTGTTCCACAAGACCTTGTGCTTTGTACTTGTTCCTTGAGGATTTTGGCATTTTTTAAAAGACCTCTTAACTTGTTGTACAAGGCCTCTCAACTTGTTCTACAAGATCTCCGAACTTTTCCCACAAAATGTAAAGTCTTGCTTCATAATACCTCTGACCTTGTGTTCTGAACTTGTTCCATGAGAATTTTGACATTTTCCGCAAGGCCTCTGAACATGTTCCACGAGACCTCTAAATTTGTTTGGCCTCTGTGCTTGACCTCTTAACTTGTTCCACAAGTTCTCTGGACTTTTCCCACAAAACGTAAGGTCTGGTTTCATTTGCTTCAGAATACCTCTGACCTTGTGTTCTGAAATTGTTCCATGAGGATTTTCCACAAGGGCTCTGAACTTGTTCCACAAGACCTATGAACCTGTCGGACAAGGAGTTTGGTCTCATTTAAAAATACATGTGGATTTATTCCGAAGGGTCACTTAAACTTTTTATCAGAGTTCTATCAGACACTTGCTTTTGAAGCCTCAAAATTTGTTCCATGAGGCTTCGGTAGGATCTCTGAATTTGCTCCGCAATACCCTGGGCTTGTTACACAAGGCATATGATCTTGTTCTTCTCATGATCTCTAAGCTTGTTTCACAAGTTTTTTTTTTCTACAAGGCCTATGGGATTGTCCCACAAGACTTCTGAACCCGGACAGGGTAAATTCTTCATGGCTAGGGTGTTCTCCAGGGTGTCAATGTAAAAAGTTCTCTTAGCCTATTCCGAAGGGCCACTTGACCTTTTTATTAGACTTCCCGGCTTGCCTATGAAGCTTCAAAATTTGTTCCACGAGGTCTCGATAGAATCTCTGAATTTGTTCCAAAAAGCCCCGGATGTGTTCCACAAGACATCTGGACTTGTTCCAATAGATCTCTAAGCTTCTTTCGCAAGAGTAAGAGTTTTGGTTTTCATCCTCAAAGCCTGAGCGGTGTTTGACGAGATCACTGAACTTGTCCCGCACGGCGTCTAATCTCATTTCATAAGACTGCCGAACTTATCCCGTAAAACCTCTGAACTTTTCCACAAGAATTCTGGCAGAAATTTGTCGTTGATAGTCCAGTAAATTGTTTCATAAGACCCTGAGTTAACTCCCAAATGTCCCTAATTTGTACCACAAGACATCTGGACTTGTTCCACAAGGTATCTAAACAGTTTTACAAGGGTTAAGGCTCAGATAAGTCCTACAAGCTCGTTTAACAAAATCTCTGGACTTGTCTCACAAGACGTTTCATAAGACTTCTGACCTTTCCACGAGACTCCTGAGAGACTCATGTCTTGCCTCTGAACTTGTGACATAACAACTCTCGGTTTAATTCACAATACCTATGGCGAGCTCCACTAGACCTTTGGGTTTGTCCCACAAGGGTTTAGGCTTTTTTTGTCTTTCTACAATGCCTCTGAACTTGTTCTACATGACCTGTGAATCTGTCCAACAAGGTGTTATGTCTCATTTCTCAAGGCATCTGGACTTATTCTAAGCCTCTAAGTTTGTTCCACACAATAGCCACAAGGTCTCTGAAGTAGTATACCAAGGTTTTACATTTATTTTCACAATACTTTTGAATTACTTCCACAAGACCTCTGGACTTCTTAACATGCTCCTCATGACCCAATACATAAACCTGATATCTTTCGGAAGTGCAGCAGAATTTAACGGACCCGGAATGATAAGTGCTGCAGTCTTAGGAGGCATGACCCCAATCATGGGCCTCCCTTAGCTCAGTCGGTAAAGGCGCAGCTACAAAGCAAGACCATGCTGGAGGTGGCTGGGTTCGATGCCCGGTCCGGTCAAGGAATTTTTCGGGCATAAGGGGATGATTGTACTTGCCACACAATTATACTAATGCAAAAATGATATAGGTTTCGAAAGCTTTCAATCAATAACTGTGGAAGTGCATGTAGAACACTAAGTTGAGAGCACCCAATAAGCTAATATGCGATAAGCAATCAGCTTGAAATGCGAAGAACAAGACCCCAATCAACTCTAGGGTACGTCCTGAAGGCTCCGAGTCAAGAAATCATAAGTAAATGCCCAAAGAACCCTAACAGCAAATCCACAGGACTCCAATGAAAAGTGTGGAGAACATTAATCAAATGCCCTGTAAATCCCAAGCCTAGGTCTAGACGCCTTTCTGGATAAGCTCCGTTAACGTTATGGACAAATTCAGAGGTCTTTAATAGTGATCCTAGATGAACTTAAGGACAAATCTGGAGAACATTTAGGGACAGTGATCTGAAGGCCTATCTAAAACAAACTTCAAGAAGGAATCTAGTTGAATTGGGGATAAATTCCGAAGATCTCATGTGTAAGCTCTGAGATGCCCAATGGTAAGTCCTGGTTTCAAAAAGGGCCATTTCAAATTCTTGATAGGGGAAGAGTACCCAGAATATATACCTCTTTAGTAAACCCAGGAAATTACGTGAACACTATCAATACATTTGTACTTGTTCGAAATTAACACTGCAATAGGCAGATGAATGAAAGAGTTTACTTTACTCGCTCCCTAAGAAAAACACGGGAAAGGAAAGTAAACTCTTAAAAATAAAGTAAAATTACACATTTTAGTGCTAATGTACACTGATTTATTGAACAAAACTAGTTTTCGTAAATTAAACAAATTATTATAATCAACCAATTTGCTTCCTTCAACGACAATTACTAAACGATAGTTTCTATACCCATTATATAGAAAAGTTAAAATGCATATAACCAGTTATCTAAGTATCTATATTTCATTGCCTTCCATAATGTGCTAGTTTTCCTTTTTAACAAATAGAATCATACTAGGTCTTTATTGCTTCAACGAAAATATTAGTTAATAATGAAATCCAGCATCCAGTTAAGAATTAAATATTTTCAAAAGAAAAGAAAAAAAAAACAATATGATAGAGTCTACTAAACACAAAACAGAAAGCAACAAAAGCAAAGTGCAACTGAAACATTTCGAAACAGTGTAGGCAGTGGAGGAAACAACGGCAACAAACAACTAACAACGCGAGAAGAACAAAATGAGCATTTCAAAACAACCACGACTCTTCCGACAAGAGAGACGACCTAGGTTGCCTATAGCTTTTAAGAAATACATACATATTTACATTTAGGACAGTTTCTTTGCTGGAAAAAGGTCAAAAATAAAAGCGCGGCTGCGCCTACTCGCCACGTATAAGATCCAAAACATAAGCTGCATTGCCGTCGTTTTTATTTGTGTGTGTTTGTTCACTAATCCCAAATTAATCCCTTTGTTAGATAATGCCTCTACTCAATCCGCGCCGCTGACCACAACAAATGAAGCAACGCAGCCAATCGCAAAGTATGGATGTCGTGAAAACAAATCCTTTGTGCGTAGAATAGAATTGACTAATTTTCGTTTGATTTTCATTTCATTATTCACCTGTCGCGCGTTGTCGGCGCCTCCATTCATTTGTGAATTGGCATACATGTACACCAAAATCACTGCATTCACGCACACAAAGCCACACACCACCAACGACACAACAGAGCAGACGACTATCGACGGCGAATTCGAATCCGAAACGAAGAAACCCGACGAAGCAAACGAAGACTCTCCACAGAAGGAAGAACTAGTCGAAGAAGAGGAGGCAGTAGTGGAAGAACCTAGCCATCCGAAAGTTTCGGAGGAAAAATCTGAAGAGAACAAAGCCAGTGAAGAAGGACGCTCGCAAGAGAAAGACATTGATGATGATGATTCAAGTACCGCGAAAGAAGACGAACTGAAGAAGGAAGAAAGTGCAGTAGTAGTCGAAGAAGCGGGAGTGAAAGGGGAGAAACGAGAGGTGGTCGAAGCTGATGTGAAGGTGGAACACCTTAGCCATGAGAAAACGGAGGAAACATCAGAAGATACCAATGCAGTTGAAGATGGAAGGTCAGAAGCCGAGGAAGACGTCGAAAGTAAAGCAAATTCTGAAAAGGATGATCCAGGCACCTCGAAAGAAGAATTCGATGAAGAAGAAGTGAAAGAGAAGCATTTAGAGGCAGTCGAAGTGCAAGATTATGCAAATATTCGACCGGAAGAAAAACTGGAAGAGACTGATGAGAATGATGGCAAGCAAGAGGAAACGCCTCAAGAGAAAGATAACAATGGCGAAGAAGTACATGACCAGGAAGACGGCCAACTGGAAGCTACTGGAGTTGAAATACCAGAAGCCTCGACAGAGGTTGTCGACGAGGAAAGTAAGAGCACAGAAGAACGGAGAAATGAAGAAGAGTCACTCGAGAATAAAAATGAAGCACAAACGGAAACAGCCACAGAGCTAACCGAAGTAGAAAGCGCTAAAGATGCTCCAGAGAACGATGAAATTGAAAACGAACTGGATGAGGGCGAGGATGACGAACAGAGTGACAGTGATGAACCTGTGTCGGTGATGGAGGTGACGAGTAAGGCAGAAGATGCTGCTGATCATCAAGAGCAAGATGATTTGTCTCTAGCCGAACAGGAAGCGGTTGATCCCAAGGTTTGATGGTTTATGGATGGATGTTGTTCGCTCTTCGTTTCGCCAAGCGCTAATATTCGATAGTAAGAATTGTCGCATGTTTGATGTTATCAGTCGAGGATGGGGAATTTATACTATACGTGATTTACATCATCCACGGACCTAACGCTCATAGATCAATTCCAATCTACTACATTTTATGATTATTAGTGAGTTCCATAAGCTGTCTTATGAATTTAATTATTTTTTCAAATTATAAACGAAATCATAAGGCAAATTTGCACTAAGCACAACCCGACCTTAGATGGCGGTAGTGTTTACAATGATAAATGTCCAATGTGTTGTGTCTGTTTGTCTGTGATATAACATTGAGGTAACCTTAGGATAAAATCAAAACATTGAGAAATATAACGCATCACTTCCAGGAATACTTCACTTCGCAACCGATGAACCATTCTGACGGCCATATGAGTACCCAAGTAACCATATAGTCGCAATATAGCTTACATTTACTTACTTAGGGGAATCTGATGAAACTATCATTTCTTGAAACTAATCCGTTTCGTATTCTATTCATTCTCTTTTCACACTTTGCATATAACACCATCTCATACTAATCTCTACATTGATTCAATAATGACTCATTTCGAGTGCTCGGTGTACCAGTGACTTAAGACGCGAGCCTTATGCCAGATGACCATGGGAATATAGTGACAGATGGTGGGCATGAGCTCGACCACACCAACCAGGTAGGAAGAGTCGTCATCGAACCAGGTTCCGGAAATTAGTGCGGATTTATCTCCCTCGGAAAACAAGAAAAACCCGGTAAAGGCGGAATCATGTCAGAACCGACCAAGGACGATCTACGGAAGGAAATCACGTGACTTTCCATTCGATTTGCACAGAGAGTCACGTCACCACGACGTGACTTTTCTCACTTCACTAGTGACAAAAGTCACTTCGATTCTCGGAATAATGATGTGTTGGAAGAGAGTTCTTCGGAATTGTAGAGAGAGTTCTTCCATAATAACAGTGCCGGCCAGTGGGTATTAGAAGGAAAAAAAAACAGGCACACACACACACAGCACAACCCGACCTTTGACACTATTTTTCAAGCGGAATTTATCACAAAATGCCTTCTAAATTTATTCACTTTTCAGTGCGTACGGTAAGATTTGATAAAGAGTAACAAACTGTTGAGTAATTGATAAAAATCTAACACTGCTTCTTGACCCTTAAACTCGGCCAAATGCATTGGAACTCTATTGAATTCACTTCGACCTATCGGATGATTCGGTCGGAGCGCTTCTTTTGTTTTTGAGAATAATGTGTGCAAACATGCGTTCTTATTGACTTCGTTCGGTAGCTTTTGAACTAAAGTATCGTACGAAACGCATGTTAACGTCAAAATCATGGTTTTATTTGATTAGGTCGAAGTAGTTCTCTTCCCTAACATTTGCAGTTTGTTACAAGATTTCTCTATAGTTTGTTTTCTTAAGTATTTTCTTGTATGTCATTTCAGAATTTCCTCAGATTTTCTATTCAGTATTTTAGAATATTTCAGAATAATATTGAGATTCTCATTTGTAGTTCTTTGAAATATTGAAAACTCTAGCAATTCTTTACATAATACGTTTTAAAACTCACTCTACAATTAAGACTTTTCAATCATTTGCACTAGAATTCACTTCAAGTTTTCTCCATAAACCTCCTTAAAATTATGTTGAAAGTCAGCTCAGGATTTCTTTAGTATACCCTTCAGAATAGAATTGGTATTCTATTGACATTCGCTTCAGAAATGCTATGGGATTCAGCTAAAAATTATCCTGTAATTCTTCTCAGAATTTTCCAGAAAATTTCATGGGAACTTTACTGTTTCTGATGACGTCACTTTGGCCTACTTCGGTTGATGTTGAGCTAGCCTGGTATATGTAAGCCGTGGTCAGAATTAGATTAACTTGGAATTCTTCGGGGAATTCCCTTTGAAATCTCTTCAGATTTACTTTGAAATTATCCTCAGACAGGATATTTACAACCTGTAAAAATCTAAAAAAACCGGAAATAAACAGGGAATGTTCCTGGGGAAAAAACTGCATTCCTAAGGGAATTTTCAAATTATGAGAGAAAGTTGCACGGTAAGAAAAAAGTACCGAACATTGAGCTCCTTTCACTCAAAACGTGGCTTCAATAGGGCAGGGTAAAATGAATTTCATGATATTTTTTTATTTATAATATGAACCTTTTGGTTGTCAAATCATAACCGAATCGTATATATGTGACTTTGTGGGTCATGCACGACTTATTACTATGATACCGGAAATTATAGGTTTTCCAAATCGTCCAGGACGCCAGTTATTTTGTTCTACTAGATCAACCATGACTGGGAAAAAGTCTGTAGTATCAAAATATGTCCAAACAGATTCATAGTGTCTATATGGATAATGTTCAATTATTTTCACGTATACCAGATCCGTATGATCTAGGTTCTCCAAATCGTCCTGCAGTTCAGGGTTGAAAATTCTCTGGGGAGAATCACCCGGGTGCGAGAGATATCATTCTCTGCGGTGAATCTCTGCTTGAATTTCAGTGGCACCACTGGAGAGATTGTTAGACACAGCACGAGAGAGTGAGAGAGTTGACAGTTCACTGTTTTTCGGTTTATACACTCACTTCCGTGAGGAAGATGGCAGTGCAAATGCGTTATTTTTTCTCCAAAAAATTTTGGCAGAGCTTGACGTGAGGGGACAAAGTGCGAACTTTTTTCACAAAGAAAAAAGTGCGGTTTGACAACGGTACCGAAAAGGTGGTTGTGAATTTTGTGCTTTGCATGGCAAATGGAAAAACATTCAAAGTGGACACGGTATTCAACTGGAACCGTTCTCGGCCGTGTTCCACTCCTGTTGCCACTTAGCCAACGACTCCGCTCTCACAGCTTTTCGTACTCTTCCGGTTTATCTCCACCTGTAGCACTCGCTGTCCTCCGCCAGGGTGATGCCGATAGGTATCATACCGGCGATAACGCATACTGCTTCCGACGAGATGGTTCTGTACGCACTCACGACTTGCATGGCTATGAGCCGGAATATACTAATCGGTTTCCTTTGGTTCTGCTTCGTTTCCAGCTCAGAAACCCAGGCTGGACCTCCATACCTCAGAATAGACGTTAATATAAAAAGTAAACTTTATAAAATCTTTGTATGCAACAACTGGGGCCTCCCTTAGCTCAGTCGGTAAAGGCGCAGCTACAAAGCCCAGCATGGTGGCTGGGTTCGATTCCCGGTCCGGTCTAGGAATTTTTCGGGTTGGAAAATGTCTCGACATACCTGGGCATAGAAGTATGATTGGACTTGCCACACAATTATACCAATGCAAAAAATGGTACAGGCATCGAAAGCTCTCAATTAATAACTGTGGAACTGCATCTAGAACACTAGGAGCAACCGTACCAGTCGTTGCCATTTGCGGCACTATTTTACTTACGCACAGCGTTTCCATTTTGGCTTGATCACTCCTCTCCACACCGGTCGTTGCTATCAGAGTCATAATTTAAGTTACCGTTTTCCACACCGGCAAAACAAACTTTTGACGTATATTCAAAATAGCAACCGTCTGATGCGGGTTGCTAAATTTATGAACTCACTACTTCCCAAGGTGCGGATTGCTATTTCCCCCACCTGAATAGCAACCTCCGGTACGCAAGTAGCGTTATGGTAGAGGCTGGTAAATGTGTGTGCCTTATTTACTCATTGGTACGGTTCCTCTATGTTGAGAGCACGCAATAAGCTAATATGCGATATGCAATAAGCTTGAAATCCGAAGAAGAAGTATGCAACACACTAACAACCAAAGTCTTCACCGGGGTGATTCTCCCCGGTGAAGCAAAAGACTCTCTACGGTGCTCCCTAGTGATCACTCATCCGCTCCGGTGTGTTGGACTGTTGGAGGTGCGAACGTCAGAAAGTGTATTTGTTTGCGAAGTGGGAGAAGCGGTAGAAAGTGAAAACAAAATGAAGATCTCTCGGGTGAGATCTAGGTAGGTACACACCAACTGCTCATTTGGTAATAACTTTTCACTCAGATGTTGAAATTTATTTTTCTTTAAAGTAATTGATAGATTAGGCTCATAGTTTACTATAGATATGCGAAGATTAGGTAAAGCTTAACATTTGCATCAACACTAATCAATTTAACACTTAAATTCAAGATGTGTAGTGAGCATTTCTCACCTCATTTTTACAACGCAAAAACAAATACAGTTTACTACTAGCATTAAAATCTACTTTATTTTACATATCTATAACAAGCTTACACTCTATTCTATCTACTGCTTCAAAAAGAACTATGTTCCGTCAACTGTGTGCAAAGTTATTAGCAAATGAGCAGTTCGTGACCAAAACTGTGTATGCCAAGCATGGTGCGAGGTGTCTTTTCAACTCATCACCCTGCTTACACTGGGGAGAATGGCATCCCTGCTGCAGTTCAGATGATTTGTGTTACTAGATCAACAAAGACAAAATATGGGATAATATCTGTAGTATGGGATAATATCTGTATTATCGAAATATCGATATGGAAATCCTAGAACATTTGGCATACACGAAAATAGGTTGGCATGATCCACATAGACACTGCAAATTTGTTTGACATATTTCGATACCACAGATATTGAACTAGTCTTGGGTGATCTAGTAGAAACATAATCTGATCTCCAGAATGATTTCAGAATCTATAACATCTTGTAGCCGTAGCAATAGGTCGGGCACGATCCACATAGACACTTTAAATCTGTTTGGACATATTTCGATACTACAGCCATTATTGCAGTCTTGATTGATATAGTAGAACAAATCAAGTGAGCTCCAAGGCGATTCGGAGAACCTAGAATATCTGGATACATGGCAATTACTCGTATATATACGATTCGTGTATGATTTGGTTAGAATCCATACCTCTCACGCCAAAGTCACGAGTTTAAATCTCACCTCCAGACAAGTCACGAATGACCCAAGAGCGTTAAAGTG